TTTTAGAGACAGATCAATTAGGAGACAGTGGCTCTGCCGCCTCCTAGTGGAAGAACTCTTTAACTACAACGCTGATGACTCAGGTAAAAAAAGAGGTTTTGTGGAGAGATTATAAACAATTAATATAAGTTTGATGAAAAAGACTTTATTTTTAAACATATTTACAGGCTAATGACTATGAACAACAATTGACATGGATGGAGCCTGGGATCAAACCGGCAACCCACTGGTGACAGGGCAATCTCCCTGAGCCACTGTCACCCTATAAATAACACTATTACTCACATGAATTCATACTGCTGACAAACAGCACATTCGGTGCTTCTGAAGGAATTTAATATAAGAGTATTGAGTGAACTTCTGGAGCCGTCACGCCAAGCTCCTCCAAAGTAAAACCACTCACATGTCAGGCAAGGCCACAATAGCTCTAACGATAGCATTCTCAGATATTTCTGCTGTGTGTGGTGGCTTCATGAGTGCTCTGGTCTGCTCGGAAGCACATCAGGACCACTCCCATGATACATCTGGGGTATTTACTGTGTTGGATTGCTTTGGTCTGATTTTGAGGACAAACAAGCGTGCTGCCTGTTGAATGGGCATGCAGCCAATCAGAAAACAAAATGGTTCGAGTGAGCACGATCCCCATGTTGGTTTACTCCAGAGGCACTATCAATCTAGAGAGATTTTGCTAAATGTTCTGTCTAGCCAGGGCATGTTCGAGTGTAGTCTTTGCCGTGATGCCACAGACCACACACCACATCAACACACGGAGATTTTATATCTCCCCGTGTGCACTCTCTCATCTGCACCAGGCCCGAGATCCTTTCCACACTTTAAAAAGAAGAGAAGACACCAGCAATAAAATAACACAGATTGCATCCTGTTACAGTCATAATCTCTTTATTTTTCATTTTACCATCATGAAAATTAAATAACATGTACATATAAAACATACTTATTCTGTTCAAGACAAGGCATCACTTTTGTCTGTGGCTCAAATCGAACTATGAGGTTAATTACTGCATGACGTCATCTCACTTTCTGGTTCTAAAACACACACACACGTTTACTCATCAGGAGGACATCGCACCACACTGTGCACAGATTTACATCCACACACAACAGGACCGAGGCTATGGGGGCAGATAAATCAAAAGTTTATAGGGAATATAAATGTTTTCATAGACGTGTGCTTTTGGGAGGATGTAAACACAGCAGGAAACAGGCTGAATGGCACTACTGATCACATGTTTGCAGTTGACCTTCAGCATGAAGACGTGTCACTGTTAATTCCGCAGGATTTCACATAGTAACCAGTAAAAGTCATCCTAAAACACATAATATTCATCAAAATACCTCCAACTTTTCTTTATATTCAATTTTCTCTCTCATTACAATCTTTAATTGTTTGTTATTTTTTCTTCTGTTTACACGTTTCATCGTCATGACGACACGCATATTCAGGGATTTATACATTTATTTACACAGTGATTCATTCTGAGTCATGCTATCTTTAGTTTTGGGTTCCTAGATGCACAAAAGAAATGTGTTCACATTCAGAAGTCTGACAGAACGGAAGCAGGATTACATAAAAGCGCTGTACAAAACTTTATATGTGCCATGGAGGAGGTATTAAGGTACGTGGAAATTATTTTACTTGTGCATTTTAGTTTAAAGTCACTTGACAAGAATAGGAGGAGGCGTCTGAGAAACGATTGTAAATGTTAAATACATACATGATCTAAAAAATGCCTTCACGAATAAACCAAAACGTTAGCATGCGTTTCCTCGCTTCCTGTGACCACCGTGTGTTAAACTGCACGTTTTCTCCCAAAAATTACATGAAACATAAAAACAGCCTTTCAAACCCAGAAAATCTTTTATTAAACTCATCAAAAAAGGGGCGACAAAACATTAGTTCATAACATCCGTTCTCAGCAACAGACCTTTTTGATTTCTAATGACTAATTAGCAGTAAAAGTGCTATATTTCCCCTTATTCTCTAAAGTTTTTGTGCTGCAGTCTTTGGCCTTTCTTTCATCTTCCTTTTTACAAAAAATACAGAAATATTCAAAATAAGATGTAGTTTTGTTTCTAAAAATAAGAAAGAAGCTCTGTGGAAAGTAAAATATATCATTTTTATCTACAGAAAGTGCACCATAAATAAAGTGTTATTGAGGATCATTCTTCCTGCTTCCTTGAAAGTGACATTAATGCATGTGCATCTCAAACTGGGGTCTTAATTACAGTTATGAACATAAAACTGATTATGAATCAGGGAGAGCACAAAAATAACAAGAAGTCTTGCTAAATAAAAAATAGTCAGATCAGGTAAGACTGCAGGTAAATTATTGCTTAAAATCCTGATGTTTTCCCTCTTTTCCATTATGCACAAATTTGAACACACACACACACACACACACACACACACACACACACACACACACACACACACACACACACACACACACACACACACACACACACACACACTGACCTGACTTCACCCAAAGTGCCTTGCAGGAGTGTTTGTTATCCTGTCTGAGGTAAAGAAATCAGAAACACGTTCTTCAGAGCTACATCTACCCTAAACTGTTATTAAAGACAGATATCATCAAGGCACACAGATGACATGGATCTGCTACTGTTTACATATTTCAGGTTGCACACACACACACACACACACACACACACACACACACACACACACAGGAGGTTTATATCTTCAGGTATCTGTTAATGAAGCTGAAATGTGTTTTATATTAAACAAAGACACAGCTAATGGTACATTCACTGAGTCAGTTTATATTCAGGACTAATCTACACAGATTAATAATGTAACCTGGTTCATTTTAAGGAGGATTAACGGTTTGGTTAATGTTGAAAAATGTCTGACAATGTTGTTTTATGTGTTTTTGTTCACTTCTATCTTTGCAGGGAACGTTTTTATTGCAGAAAACTATTGTCTAACGATATTTTGATTATAACGAGCTCTTGGCGTGATCAGATTCTGTTCTATTAAAATCTACATGGACATATAGAGATGGATGACAAGTGTCTATTTCCACTGCACAAAAGTGAAGCATCCTCTCACAGGAGCAGCATGTTGAATATTTGGATTTGGAGTTTTTCCACCACAGATGTTTAAGGTTTTTGTGATACAGGCCAAAATTGTTCTGTAGAAAGTGCTTGCAGGCTACAAAATTCTGAATTGTTAGAGCGTAGCCAGCTACTAAAGGGTGCTTCATAGTTCCAGCTTTAAAGCTCTTACAGCAAATCTGGAAAATAAATTAGCCCAAAACCTTTATTTCATGCCTATTAACAACATTCTAAAATAGTATATCTATAAATATGTTGTGGAGATTAAAAATAACCAAAACAAAGAAAATGGTTCTCTTGCATTTGTTTAAAAATCTCCGCCAATAACACATTTCAGACTAAAATCCACCAATGGACCATTCAGCTGTCGGTTCTGTCGAGCCACCACACTCCTGCACATCCCTGGGTCCTCCATTCATCACGCACTCACGTGTTTAGCAACAGAACACCACTGGTGTGAGAGGTTTGCTGCTCAATGGCAAGAGAAGGAGAAACAGCCAGCTGCTACCACTTCAACTTTAGGAGAAACTACCCAAAAAGAAAAACACAAACTGAAGTCACGGACAGCAAAAGACTTTTGGACCTAACATAGCTCGCATCATCTGGAAATGTGGGTTTCTGGTTCCGGTGGAAGCGGATCCAGGGAAGGTACCCGAGTGGAGGGGCGAGTGTTCTGTGACCTTGTTTACATTCAAAACCTAGCTTGTTCTGTAGATTCGCTATAACAGCTTGAAACTTTGCATTACATTCTAATGTCTGGTTATTAAAGAGGAACTGCACACCATCAGAAAATGTAACTCCACCCCTCGTCAAGATTTGAAAAATGCCATGAAAGTGGGCATTGCCAGCGCTGCGCAGTGGCACAGTGGTCAGAGAAGAAGGTCCTGGGTTCGCTTCCCAGCCTGGGATCTTTCTGCATGGAGTTTGCATGTTCTCCCTGTGCATGCGTGGGTTCTCTCCGGGTACTCCGGCTTCCTCCCACGGTCCAAAAACATGACTGTTAGGTTGATTGGTCTGTCTAAATTGTCCTTAGGTGTGTGTGTGTGTGTGTGTGTGTGTGTGTGTGTGTGTGTGTGTGTGTGTGTGTGTGTGTTTGTGTGTGTGTGTGTGTGATTGTTTGTCCTGTGTGTCTCTGTGTTGCCCTGCGATGGACTGGCTCTCTGTCCTGGGTGCCCGTTGACTGCTGGAGATAGGCACCAGCCCCCCCGCGACCCTACATGGACAAGCGGGTTCAGACAATGGATGGATGGATGGGTGCGCGTTGCCAGGAGGCACAGAGTAGCATGGCCAAGTGTGGGGAATTTCCATCCTGGGAGGGAGGGGGAGTGGGAGGAGACTGTACTGATGACATGAAATTGTTCCAGCCCCGGTCAATCATAAGTTTAAAATGCAGTAGCAGTTGTTCTGCCACAGGGGGCAGCACTGAGATGTTTATGGTCCTAGATTCTAGATTTAATCAAGTTTACACAAACATGTCAAAAAGTGCACAGAAACAGAAATATTGCATTTGTAAAGACCCAATTATACAGTTAATTAGCAAAAAAAAGTTGCTTTGGGGTTTAGTTACTCTTTAAATACACCACTGTTTAAATTGGACAGGATAAACATAACTCAGCTCAAAATATGGAGACAATGTTGGGTGAAATTTTAAAAGAAACTCAGAAAGCATATTTCAGAACTGATTTAGAGGAACATTATTTAAAATACAGAACATTGTGCACTAGCAGAGCTCAAAAAGATTTGTGGACACCGCCGTGTTACAAATAGCCTGGATAAATTACTGAGAGTTATTTCAGCAACTATTGAAGTGGCTGATTGGGTGAAAGAGCCAAATTGTACAGTCCAGAATAGCTCTCTTTAATCATCGATGAATGCAATCCCCTCAGTCCTGCAAGATGAAATGTAAACAACAGTTATCAAAGCACAGGACAAAGGATAGATTAATCTGGGAAGCGCCAAAGGAACAGGGGACAGTAATGTCTTCACAAGCTGTGAGTGAAGGGAAAAAGAAGGTATGGGCTTGCCTTTTTAGCAGCAACAAGATTAATGTCCTTTTGATTGGAGCTGAGGGATTTCCACACAGTGGTTTTGGACATTTCATCTGATATGTTAATATCAGAGGGATCACACCTGAGGAGCAGGGATAGGAGGATATGAGGACAAATCAGGGACAGGTCTCAGCATGGGAGTGTTCACCAGAGCACTAGACAGGGAAAGCCGGGGAATATTCTCACCACTCTCATCCATTTAAGTGCTCATTGAGGTGTGTGTTCTTACCTGGGATCATGTGCTTTCTGGACGGGTTTACAGCTCTCCATGGGAATCTGAATAGTAGTTGTATCTTCTGTCCTCATACTGAGCATGACCTGTGATTCCTGCATGAAAACTCAAGTTTAACCATTTTTAGAGATTCAACACATCTCAAGAGCCATCACAACTACCTCCTCCAGCTTTTTGGATGCATCGTCATCAAGTTTTTTTTTCTTCCACTCTGGCATCAGGTCATCCAGGTAGCTCAGCTCTCGCTTAGAGAAGCACAAGTCCAGAACTTTTCGGATGAAAACCAGAGCCAGCACCTACACGCACAAGACAGAAACATTTCTTAACCTAAAAGTAAAAGCTGGAAGAAGAGTGATTGTTTGTTTGTTATGATTTACCATCATGGGAAAGACGATAGCGGCAGGCGATGTCTTGATGACCCAGAGCAGAATCAGGCAGCTGAGCTGGGTGACAGTGAAGAGGTGGACCTTCCTCAAGGGCACGTGTCTCAAGTAGATGAAGTCCGGCTGGTGCTTCGCCGGCATGCCGAAGAGTTTCAGACGGTCAAAGAACTGTGATGAACCCAGCAGGAGGAGACGGTAGAAGGAAAGTGAATTGTTTTCAGTGAACCTAAAGAAGAAGTACATTTTCTATAGAGCTACATGCAGAGTGTCTCAAAAAGCTCACATATCCTGTCAGTAATTTATAAAAGTGCTTTGTTTAGTTCAATCTGAGCAGCTCTCATGCTGGAGTAAAGCAGAAAGTAGGACGACTGGGCAACAAGCATGACTGAGCCTCAGATAAACTCCAAGTTTTAAGAATGACGAATGTTTCAACTCAACACATGCTGCAAAAATCACACAGGACTTAAAAATTATGGTCTGTTAAGTCAAAACACAACAAAGACATCCTTCACGGTCAAAAAGACAGATTTGATTTACAACCGCTGCTAAAAAAATAAAACTGTGGCTACTGCAGACCATGTTTCAAAACAAACAAGTGCAGAGATGCCAACTTTTGCAAAAGATATGGAGTGAGATTTAATTTGTAATTCTCTCTCTCTCTGTCTCTCTCTCTCTCTCTCTCTCTCTCTCTCTCTCTCGCTCGCTCTGTCTGTGTGTGTGTGTGTGTCTTTTAGATGTAGTTGGGTATTTATTGGTGTTTAAACTAATAACTAATAGTTTAATATTACAATTAGGGATGTTCCGATCACATTTTTTGGCTCCCGATCCGATTCCGAGTCATTTGATTTTGAGTATCTGCCGATACCGAGTCCCGATCCGAAACTTCAGCAATACAATAAAATAGCAAGAAAAAAGGGAGACTGCACCCAAATTGACATGTTAGATTATTATTATTATTATTATTATTATTATTTATATGACGGCATCCAACATGATACCATAAAAAGTTTTTCTTTGTTTTTCAGCATAGCTTCCGGTGTCGGCTGGCTCCATGTTTTGATCTGCGTTGCCGCGGTGAACTCGGAATATTGAGCTGGATGTTTGCTCTTGAGATGGCGGATCAGGTTCGTGGTGTTAAAAGCAGCTCTGTCTTTTCCACCACGTGAAACATTCAGTTTGCACACGTTGCAAGTGGCTGTTGGACAGCATTCGGTCTCCAGTTTAAAATGATTCCAAACCGCTGACATTTTTTGCCCTCCTGGAGCGAGACGAGCATTAACCTGCTAGCTAACTGCAACCTAAATTCCGCGGTCCACTTTAAAACATGTGACGTTACGGCTGCTGTATGGTGCTGTCATGTCGTTATTGAGGAAGTGAAACTTGATACAAAATTAAGCCATTGTTATTCAATTTGAAACTCAAGATTGATTAAAAATGTCATGCTTGTTGTTTTATAAGGTTAAATTTGATCTTTAACATCCGATTCTGATCTTTTAAAAGTCACATGGTCGGGCCCGATTTCCGATCACGTGATCGGATCGGAGCATCCCTAATTACAATGTAATTACAATGTATGCTGGTAAAATAATGTGACTAAATATTATAGTTTCGCTTTGTGGCCACCAGAGGGCATGTGATCTGATATGTTGTTAGCTAGCTGCTGGTAGATCCTGGATGAGCTCACTGATTTATTCTTGTTCAACAGAGAAAATATATTTATTGAGTGTCAGTGGTTTATTTTTTTTTCTAATTCGCCGATAGCATTTTTAGCTCAATGTGAGCTCAACGATAGCCTCTAGCTTCCTTAACTCGAAAACAGCATAAAACGAAAAGATGCTATGGCTTCTTAGAGTTACAAGAAATTACCGCTGGGTCGCTAATTTAACATACTGTCCACAGCAGCGTTTGCTGGTGCAGACTTGGCAACCCCGTAGACACTTATTGTACACAATGATGTGTCCCTCTTTGGCCTTGTTAAAAGGAGAAATACTGATAACCCCCAACCGGCTGAGACGGAAATCAGTTCAAATGAAAATGTAATTTTCAAACCAGCATGATTGAGACATTAGATAGTTTTGAAATTATTTTACTGTGTCTACAGTTTTTTTTCATTAGTTTTAATTTGAGGAAAATAATATTCTGTTTAATGTAAAAGTAATGCAAAAGAACACATCATGAAGTTGGCAGGAGCAGTTTTGTTCACTTAAAAAATGAGGTTTTTAAAGTTTCAGCGACAATAAAATATCAAAAAAGGTTACATCAAATCAGTAGGCAGGTCAAGAGACCATTTCTGAATATCTGGACTAATCTCAGTAAGAAATATCGCTCCCTGGAGTTTAATCAGATCTAAAACAGAATCAGTTGTCCTGCTTAAAGAATAATTTGATCCAGTTGATGAAAAGGGCATCCACAGTTAGAAACCTTTCTGTTGCACTGGCAGCGGCTGTTTGTGTTTTACCTGGATGCCTTTTAATGAAGAGGCTCCCATGTAAAGAAAAACTCCATACAGCACAGGCATGGGAATAAACTGGGAACAAACAACAGCACACAGAAAAATAACCTTTAAGAACGTGATTTATAGTAAATATTGCTGTAATGGAACAGAAACTGTGATTACTTGCCACTTGTACACTGGTGCCCTCTAGTGGTAGAAAGTGAACTATTTGAGCTAAACCTTAAAGTGCAAGCGAGAATAACGCATTGTGACTGACCTGCAGAGCTCCAGTCATGAACACCGAGCAGCCCATGAGCAGGAAGATGACCAGGCCCGTGAGCCTCTGCTCTCTGATGCCCAAGAAGCGAGGCTGCTCTCCCGGAGCAGAGCTCTCTGACTCCAGCTTCAGGCTGTTCACATGAGAGATGGACAGCACAGTGGCGGCTACAAACCAGGGCAAGCCCATGATGGAGCACACAGCCAGCATCACCCCCACCATCAGCAGGTCCAGGTGGTACCCACAACCTTTCTGTAAAAACAGACCACAGGTCAAACAGACGTTCAGCATCCGTGTGCCTAAATTAAAATTTATTTTCATGCCAGGAGTTTGTGCTCTTTGCGGTTGATGATGACAGCAGTTATCTGCTGGTCCATGAAAATCAGGATGGTGCAGAGAAGAGCAGGAATAGCAGCTGCCAGGAGAGTCCACCACGGGTTCCGTCCAATCGGATTAACCAACCAGCCACGATCATCTCTGGTAGGCTGCAGGATTAGAAGAGGATTTTTGTCTATTGTCTCTAAGCTCCTTTGCTGCATTTAAAATGGAAAAGTTGTGTGTTTTGTTAGTACCTGGAATTTGCTCGGCACCTTGAGCTTCTGGGATGGAACGCCGATGACGAAGTCAAGCAGAACCATGAGAACGATTGTGAGGAACACAGCAAAGTCACTGATCATAGACCGCACCTGGACATGAGAGACGATGTTGTTACCAGTAGTGTCTAACATGACAGCAGCTGGTCCTAATAACTGAGCAGGTTACCTTGGTGGGAAAATAACGACTAGTTTTGAATTGTTTGAGGAAGGCAGACAGGAAGAATGTTGAAAAGAACAAGATGACAGACCAGAAGAGAACATCTGGAGTGTATGGACCGTGGTGCCCACATGCTGTCCCAACAAAGTGGCCTTGCAGGCTGATGCACTCCTGCAGAGAGACACAGTCAGCTCAGATGACTTCTGTAGAAATCAGGCACATTTTACCTGAGCTGTCTGGCAGGAACAATAAATAATGAAGCAAAAAATAGAAAACAGGAGATATTGCGCAAGAAAAAAACGTGTTGGGTTTTTCCAGACGAAACATGTTCTTGAAAGGTTGATTAACAAAATTAGTTACCTTGACAGTCAGGTTGACCCAGGGTACAGCAGAGGCTGTGATGTTTCTCTCACTCCACAAATCCAAGGTTTTGTTACTGGGATCATTAGGCTCTGCACACCTACAGCTACAGAGACACACACCGAAAAAAAAAAACTGTTTAACTTTTTGACCAGTGGGGAAAGATGGTCATTTTAAGATGTCAGAGCAAGAAGATGGACAAAGCAAAATGAAAATGCATTAGTTTTTATTACATATGGGGTGCTGATTGTAAACATACCAGCTACATCGTGTCTCTTTTAGCTCCGCACGTAAAAATAAATTCTGGTTTGACAATTTTAAAGTCACTTTTTAAACACGTTAAGAGAATTACAAAGTTATATCCGAATTTATCACAATTTTGTTAAAAATTAACATCTAACATCAAGTATAAAATGTATACCGTAAATCCTCTAATACAGGCCCGGGCCTGTATTTGACTCAAGCTCATCAAGCTCCAGGCCTTTATTGGAAGGAGGGCCAGTATTAGAGGCAGGTCTCTATTTCTATTCGAGCAAAATGAACTAATGGTTCGCTGGAGTTTTTGACAATTAAAATTGCGCCCACATTTTCAAAGTTAAACACATTTCTTTTAACAACGGTAGTTTCTGCTTCAGCCCTCTCCCCTCCCTCCCCCTGCGCAGCGGCCGCAAACTCACTGATGCGCCTGCAGCCTCTCAGAGTTCCTGCTGCTCTAAAGATTAAAATAATTATTTCATTTTCTGTTCCTCACTTCTGATAACCTTCAATGGTGTCTGTTTGTTGCAACCAGCAGGTACAAAAACTAACTTGTTTTTATTTGACTATTTTTCTGTCCTGTCTCTGTTGATTATCTTCCTGCATCTCCTCTCAATCCTAAAGAAAAACTACTACCTGGGTTCATATATATTCACCTTATGAGTTACCTTTGAACTGCAGTTCTAAAAGATCTACCGACCGCAGAAACAGCGGAGTGCTCGCTGTTTGCCGGCCGTATCAGTGATCGGTGCGTCACCGAGGACAAAACAGGTGATGCGCCCTGATCCACAGCAGCGAAAAGCATCAGGCACAAATATAAGAATAAAAGACAGAAAACATAAAAGGAAATGAGCCGATATGAACGATCGCGTGTTAAATTAGTTTTTGAGGTGGTGACACCTGATTTGATAATGTTACTGTGGCCGTGTTCAGGACGCAGATGTCTGGAGCGCGTCAACAATCAGAGCTTTGCATGTGCAAGCTGGCTAAGGTTAGGATGGGGGTGAGGGGAAGGTTAAATTGCAAGAGGGTAAAGGTCGCAATTTGGTTAAATGTCTGTTTTACTGCGGGTGTCAGTACCGACGCTCTGGCACAGAGCGTTGCCTCCCGACGCGCAGGAGCTTGTCACCTGCTGACAGCAGGCTGCTGTCTTTTCCGAGGACTGCATCTTGCCGGTCATTATCACGTGACAGCGACTAGTCGATGACAGGCATAAAAAGTCACTATAGAGCAGTGAAGTCGACTAGTGACTAGTTCATACAACCCCTACTGCAGCATAATCAGCATGTTCTCTTTGAACTTGAAATAAAATTTTCGCCTCCTCTTCGTCTCCTCACGGTTAAAGTTACCCTCGCGGTCTATCACTGGCAAATCAAAAGTGAGACGGATGACACAACCGCCCCCCTGTGGTACTTGCTTGTTACCACATTCCTCCCGGCCACAATAAAAAACCGGCCATTATTCACCTCCGCCGACTCCGACACCGGCCAAAATGTGATACCCGGCAGTTAATTAAATACAGGCTAATATTAGAGGATTTACGGTAGTTATGTCATAATTTTTTTAAACATTTAAACATTTAAACCTAAATATTGAATCTAGTTAAGCTTAATCTAAATATTTGAAGTGAACATTTTCTAAATTTAGATATGATTCCAAACATTTATTTTTAACATTACTCTTTGAAGCAACATGTGGTGAAATTTATTTTTTAATGTGTATCACATTTTAAATCGGCGCTCCATAGACACTTACTGTGTCAGTGTGAGTTTGTCCAGATCACTGTTAAGGTTATAGGGGTACAATTCTCCCAGGTGGAACAGCTTCTCCAAGGCTTCATAGATGAAGATGAGGCAGATGAGAGCAGCGAAGGCCTCCTCTGTGAAACGAGTGATGTAACAAACCAGAGAGCTGGCATCTGTGGCGACTAACAGCAAACACAGCAGGGCCGTCCACAGGCCGATGCACGCTCGCAGCGACAGGTACGACAGGTCGTAGTCCCTGAGAGGAGAGGACACAAAATCAGCTGAATGAACCTAAACTGGACAAGGTCATAAAGAAGTTGAATTATTATTGGACATACTTGCAGAATTTGTAGAGGATTTTCTCAAAAACCAGTACAGGACCTGTGCTGCCTAGAATGGTGAGAGGCTGACCAGCAAACAGAGAGTAGGCCACCCCAGTCATTGATGCTCCAAGCAGGGACTCGATGGCGCTCTGGAACAAAACCAAAGAGGTGTTTGTCTCAGTTGTTCCCTTCATCTCCACCACTGACCTCAGATGTGTCTTACAATTCGTCCTTCTGTGGCCTCGCCCAGCAGCCCTCCAAAGGTGATGACAGGGGACATGCAGGCACAGTAGAGGAAGAGGAAGGAGGCCACACACTGGAGGCTAAGACCGTCTTTAAAGTCACTCAGATAGAACGGAGCTTTCCTCTTAATATCCAGAACCAGGCCTCCAAACAACCTGAGCCATTCCAATAAAGGCAGAAAAACCTTTACTAAACGGAAAGGTCACACATTAAAATGAAACATGGATATATAATAACATCCCCGTCTATGAAATCAGATCTGTTTATAGCTAATGCTTGTAGGAATACCTTTCTAAAATATCCGACATTCAGGGACAAAGACAATAAACACTTTCAGAATAAAAAAAAGGTTTTACTTGAAGATTAATTAATAAAAAACAGTTTTTTTAGTTCATGTTAACTTGTGTTTGTCCCTCAGAAAATAAAAGAAAAAGTACATTTTTAAGAAAACTAATTAAATTTTCCAGTAAAATGTTTGGAATTCAAACCAGTCAAAGGTGCCTGATTGAGAAGAACCATTTTCTTCTCCGGGCGGTGGCTCCTGATCATTAAACTCACCCCTCAGCTGTGACCCATCCCTATCAGAATCTTCACTGGTGAACCAGGTTCATTTCTCCTGATTTTACGTTCTGCTCTTTCAGGATAAACTCGGTTGTGATTCACAGCACAGGACGCTGTAACAAACAGGCTCACCTCCCAGTCCTCTGCAGCTCCGGACCGTGATGTTCTGCATGCTGTGGTTCCTCTACTTGGACAACTGTTCCGTTGGGAACTCCTGGCATTTTCCTCTTCTCCTGCAGATACGGCCAAACATGCAAGGCACCAATTTAGTTACTATCTATGGATGAAACAGTGAAATGGGACCTCGTAGTTCCTTACCTGAGAGGGGACACTCTTTGGGGGTTCGATGCGAATGGAGGGGTCCCACTCTCCTGGTGGAAGCACCGTCACTTGGTCCAGGAACTCATCTATCCCAGCAAGCAGGTCACTCCTATCCTTTGCCTTGTACGCTACATTGTGGAATATCTGACCAAGAGAGAAGTAACTAAGCTATGCAACCTGAATAAAAGCCCAGAATGACGTGTTATGAAGCTTGTTTTACCTCATCTGTCATGATGGTGGCCATAGAACGTCCAATTTCATGATACTGTTGCTCCTTCCCATCAGGGCCCAGGAGGATGAAGAGAAACCTGATTGGTATCAGAAGGTGTTAATTATTTCTGGATTGTTGAGGTAAAGGGAGCTGTAGCGGTCTACCTGGTGGGTATGGGGACCTCAGTGAGACCAGTGAGCAGGACAGCAGGAGAAAGACGGACAAAGGCCACAATGGGCCTCTCCAGAAAGTCCAAGACTCCCACCAGAACGTTGGAGGCTTCAGCACCCTCTGGAATCTTTTTCATGAAGTGAAGGTCGACCTGAAGTCAAAAAGAAACCCAGAGTAGAAGCACAACATCAAAGATTTGGGGGTGAATGCAGTCCTGGGAAGATTGCTTAAAAATGCATGGACACATGCTGGACTTCATCTAATTAGTCCTGTTGAACTCTGAACCAGCAGACGGAGACGTGTTTTCTTCTCTAGCGCTGTTTCCTCCATCTCTTCTCCAGTCTGCCACCTTGTTTTAATCTTGAACATCTGTTTATTCCACAATTCAGTTCAATTCAGTTGTATTTATAAAGCACCGCCCACAACCTTATCAGAAGCCCAAGGCGCTGATCACCCTCCTAAAAAAACACGATACGTTATAAAAATCATAAAACAATCAAAACAAGAGATAAAAGCAATTTTAAAAGACAGTAAAACAATAAAAGATGAGGACAGTCAAATAAAACAAGATGAGAACAAATTAAAATATATTAAAACCCATAACATTAAGCCAGTGTCATGAACCGTAATGTGGAAGACTAACAAAAAAAGTGTCTTCAAGCGAGACTTAAAGAGAGAGATGGCGCCTGCCTAACGCTCAATGGCAACTAGTTTCACAGAGTTGGGACCATAACCTAGAATGCGCCATCCCCCCTTGGTCAGTATTTTGAGCGGTGAACTACCAACAGCTCCTGCTCAGCTGAGCAAAGAAACCGAAAACCATACTTTAACTTGCTTACAGCCAGGAAGTCAGAGAAGTCCTTTAATAAGTCCAATAAAGCATCACTTTGCACTTTATCTCCTGCAAAGCCGGTCCAATGTGCAGAATGAGCTGCGTAATGTTCAGTCACCCTGATTTAGTCCTGATTTTCATCATATTTTTAACCTGTGTTTCTTCTTCTGGCTTTCACTTGTCCTCTGCTTTCACTGAACTGCTCATTTCTGCCAGGATCAGGAACAAGAACTGGACGGAAAATCGTGGAAAAGCAGCAGAAGTCCAAAGAAAAAAACTGCCAGAAAGAAAACTAAGTCTGAATGCAAGGATGAAAATTATAAATGATAAATGTTTTTATATAGCACCTTCTTAGGGTTCTTCAACCCCCCCAAGGTGCTTTATAACACAACCAGTCACCCACCCATGTGCATGCTGGTGGTGACATTGTAGCCACAGCTGCACGGACAGAGGTGAGACTGTCAAACACAGGCACCACCAGTCCCACTGACCACCACCAGCAGGCAATGTGGGTTAAGTGTCTTGCCTAATGACACAACAGCAGAATTCTATGGTCGGAGCCAGGATCAAATCTGCAACCTTCCAGTTACTGGACAAGCTGCTCCACCTCCTGAGCTACTGCTGCCTGCCATAAATACATGACGGATGGTTTAAAATGGGGATGCACCGATCAGGTTTTTTGCTGCCGATCACCGATACTGATATCAAAGAATGCTGATCACCAATACCGATCACCGATACCATTCACGAGGATTGGCCAGAAATGTTCTACAACATTATAATGAGTGCTACAAACTACATAATCTGGGAATAAAGGAAATGTAACCTAATCTAAAATGGTCTGATCGGTCTGCTTTGACCTATTTTGAAAACTCTGATCAAAACCGATAGGGGCGCTATCGGCTGATTGGGATCAAATGCCGATTCATCGGTGCATCTCTAGTTTAAAACAAAGAAAACATTCCTTTCCTGTAATAAAAATCGAAGCTCAAACACTCTACTTGCAGAAGAATCACTACTGTAGATGTTTCACCAAACACCGATTTAAGTCTCATATTGTGTTAAACACACCTGTGTAAATGCAAAGCAGGTCTTACAGTGCTGTTACGTCATCGGGTCCGTTTATGTATGACATACTGACATAAATGAACTTTTGCACCATATTCTAATCCGTTGAGTTTAAACCTGTAAGTTTAGCACCATCGATCTAAACCAGGCGTCACCGACGGTCCACAAGCCTTGTCTCTAATAAAACTCTGCTGTGTTCCTTTTAATCATAAATGCATTTATAGATTTAAAAACTACAATTTCCTTTAAAAACATTAAAATGTGTTTGTTATACATGAAGTTTGGTTTAACTCTGATCTAGTCTAGCTGAAAGGTCGGTATTTTATCAACCTGGTAGCCTTTTGAGTGGCTCAGAACCCATGAAGTAGATCAGCTTCACAAAGGTTGGTGACCCCTGACCTAAACTGATGAGAGGAAGAGACCTGGTGGTTTACCTTGCTGAGGTCCACTTGGCTGCTGTCAGCTCCAGCCCCATTCTTGGCTGGCTCAGTGGGTGGAGGGGGCTGAAGAGATGTAGCTGACCCTGAGTGTGTGTGTGTGTGTGTGTGTGTGTGTGTGTGTGTGTGTGTGTGTGTGTGTGTGTGTGTGTGTGTGTGTGTGTGTGTGTGTGTGTGTGTGTGTGTGTGTGTGTGTGTGAGACAGAGAATGAGAGTTAATCGGACAAGGGCCATGCCAAAATAAAAGTCAAAGAAAATTTGAATACATCAATAACTGATGTAGTCCAACTCCTCATTTCAAACATCAGTATCAACAGTGCAGCGGAATGAAACCAACCAATCATTTGAGGCTCTGACGGTTTGCGAGCCCCCTCCGTGATGGAGCGGACCATGGGGATCAAGTTTTTCTTCTTCTCGTTCTGGTGGTGGTGTCTCTTCAGCAGGGCCTCACGCACCCTCACCCGCACGCTGTCATCCAGCTCATGTGCCGCCTCCTGGTGGTCCAGCACCATGTCTGCAACACAAAGGGTGAACTCATAAACCCTGCTGACCAAAGATGACCACAATCATTCGTCTAGTTTGAGTCAGTAAACTTGCATGAATTAAAAAAAAAGTAAAACTTTAGAAAAAAAATCTTGCTTTTTCAAGGATCTAAAAAAAAAAACCCAGATCAGACATGTTGCTGGGTCAGTGTGTCCAACACCTCTGAGCATGAGGGAATGCAGAATAAACTCTCTCTCTCTGCAACTTTTAGATAAACTTGCTGAGTCAGCACTGGATCATAGCTCACTTCCTGTCTTCAGACGCACACACACACACACACACACACACACACACACACACACACACACACACATGCACGCACATGCATCTACACAAAGTGGCTGCAGTAGCTGAATTTACTCTGTGCACAAAGTTAAGGCCAGCATTAACGAGATGACCTCAGAGCCAGTTTACCATCCTTGTTCATAACAGAGACAATACAGGAGCACAAAGAAGCTGCAGCACAGCACAACCTGCCAACAGAAACCCCCCGGGGAGGGCGCTCGGCAGCTCAAGTGGCTGCTTAAAATCTGACCAAACTGCAAAACGGTGGCTCGATACACGCCTCGTGCACATTTTAAAGAAGCATCCGGCGTAAATGAAGCTTGAACATTTGGAGGAAATAAAATCCTAAACTTGAACTTGATGACTGACAATAAAAATAAAAACCCACTGTCTCTGCTAGCTTACAGGATAAAGTTTTAAATTTAAACTTCACAAACTACAGCCAGTCGTGACCTTCTAAAGTAAAAAGACCAATTCTCCTTCCTCAGAGTCCATTAAGAAGGACGGTTGTGTGTGCAGAGACACAAATGAGTAGTTATTGTCACTCCGTGGGAATAAAAAACTCTCCTTCATCTCCAGTCTGACTCAGCTGCTGAGTCCTGAAGCAAACTGGCTAAACACAAAATGAGAAGTTGAGATCTCATGGTGACAACGCATTTGAGCTGGACTGAAGTAACCCCGGGAAGTGAGGAGAAGAAGTTTAATTACTGATTTTGATCATTTATTGATAATGATTTCAAAGCAGCGTTTCAGCTGTTTGTGCCACGAACTCTTTAAGGATCTAGGAAAGTCCTCAGGCTCACCTCACTGAGATATAAACGTCCTTTTAAATAACAAATCTCACTGACACACGTTTTTGCAGAGTTCTCATAGAAAAGTGGACCTTGTGACATTTTTCAGGTTTTGAAGCTCTCTGATAACTCCTCACCTGCTATCTCTTCGATGCTATCTGCATGCATGTCGAGCAGCACGCTGCCATTGATGATGCAGCTGCGGAGCTCGAACAGGCTGTGGAGGGAGAGTGTGGCAACGTAAGGCTTGCTCCACCTCTCTCCACCGTCCTCCACATCTTCCTCAAACTTCAGCCACCTGCAACAGAAAAACCAGGCAGGAGTCAGGAGACAGAAAACAGTTCCCATCAAAGAAACATCCCATAATTTATTGTGGAGCCATAAGAAAATGGCTGAAAGGTAACTTTAGAGGGCCTTTGATGGTTTTTGTGACAGATTTCATGTTAACCCTAACCCTGCTGAGTAAATGAGAGGGAGATTGTCCCGGCTGTGTGTGAGTCCAGCCTTTCAGCTTTTCACCTTGAGCAAACCAGCTATGAAATGATGCCCCAAGATTTAGATGTTCTCGTCATCTGTCTTCATGAGAGCTCAGCTGTGGCGCTGCAGTGCTCTGATTTGACCCTCCCAGAGGAGATCCTGACCTGGCTGTTTCCTTCCACTCCGCATCCTTGCCTTCCTTCACGCAGATCTCATCCAGCTCGGTGAAAAGCTCGTGGGACACGTGTTCGGCATCCTCTTCTGTGCCCAGGATGAACTGGACCCGCTGGGACGGCGTGTCTGGTGGCAGGATGACACATTAGAAGAGAAGAGGGGAGATTCTGCTCTCCAGAAGCTTTTTTAAACACTCTCAGAGACTTTATGTCTTTGACACGTCATCTATTTTAAGTGGCGACTCATGTACATGTACACTGTCACGCAAATCCAACACGATGGCCATTTCTTGTCAGCTCGTTCAGAACCAGTCGATTTCAGCCTGAGGGGCTGTGTGTTGGCACGCGCGTGTGGAAAATCCACAGCATCAGGATTTAATCTAACAGCCACAACCTCCTCTGAGAGGAACTGTGGCATTATTTAAAAATAACACAAATGTGTGTTTTTACCATGACAGGAGGTGGCCTCGCTTTTATCACTCTGTTGTGCCGCGATGCTTCCTGCCCTCTTGTCTCTCCTGCGATGGCGGGATCCGTGGGCTTTGTGGTGGCGATGGCTCTGCCTGGGCATCCGAACCCCCACAAACAGAGTCCTGTGGCCTGATGGGAAACGCAGGAGGGACTAAGCCATGTGTCCACGTTTAGACTTCAGATCATTTTGTGTAAAAACAAGAGACAGTTTTTATTGATTTAACAATAATTTAATTTTAATTAATTAAAGAGACTGTCCTAAATTTATTTTTATTATTAATTTTTAAATGAACTTTTATTGAACGTTTGAAAAACGAACAAAAGCGACCACATTTCTAAATGACATTAGAGAGTAGCTCCGAAGTTCGTGTTCATGCCAACTTGCATTTTGTAGATATTATTCAACTTGGTATAATAAGAAGACAATAAACAAAAAAACAACAAAACAAAAACAGAAAATGAAGGGATACAAGTAAGAAAACATGAAAAAACAAATTATATGTGTAAGTAAATGAAAATGTTACAAGGGGGAAGTTAAAGAGCAAACAAGGTTTATTGTGTATACCATCCAAAAAGATGTTAGAGATTAGTATTTATAATGAAATTATAAAGCTTCATGCATTGGGGGTGGACATTTTACCTAAGGATCTCAACAGCAGTTCAATTTCATTTTTGAGATTATTCCAGGTAGGTGGATTTTTGAGATATCGGCATTTGTGTATGAAACATTTTGTTAAGATTATGAGATTATTAATTAGAAATTCGGTATCTTTAACTTTTAGTATAATGCCAAATAAGATATCTTCAACTCTGAAACTGTTTATATAAATTTGATTGGAGTTCAGCCATTCCTGGAGTGAAATGCACATCATTAAAATTTTATCACATTCATAGAAAAGATGTTTGGTCGATTCATCATTTTGTTTACATAAGTAACATTTTTCCACATTGAACTTAAATCTAGTTTGTATAAAATGGTTAGATGGGTAAATATCATTCAAGGTTTTAAAATGGACTTCCTTATACTTTGGGGGTAAAGAAACTTTTAGATAGTTGGTTCTCAAAATTTTTATTTCTTCTTTTGAAAAAGAGACTGTCCTGAATAGAACATATCGATAAAAACAACACGGACATCAAAGCGACATCTAGTGTGTGGCGGTCGTAGCTGCAATAGAACAAGGCTTCCAGCCGTCAGGATAACCGATTCGCTATCGACACATTAAAATTTTTTATTGAGGTCCATCTGTCGAAGGCTTCACCCAAACTCTGGTTTTAGATCTTTTATGGTCGATCCTCTTCTGAGAAGGATAACGACATCTTCAGAACTCAGAAGCAGCTGCTTGACTTGCAGAGTTCACCATTTTCCACAGTGCCAGCCTCGCTGTGCCTAGTGGACTGTTTTTGGCAACCCGCAAACATAAAGCAGGTGTTGTGACCGTCAAAATAAATATTTGATATAGCTTTTAAAGGAAATGCTGTACCTCAGTTCTGCTCACCTCTAAACGTCCCATGGAGGAGTTAATTTAAAAAATATAACTTTTTATTAAATTGTTCCGTATTCAACCTTTAAATAAATAAACACTTACAGCAATAAAATACAAATAATAAAATTAAAGTGTTTTCCTCAAATAGTATATTTTAGTTTTGTCATTTAATAAAGTGTCATTTTATTTTCATAATTTTGTACTTTTTTCTGCTATTGAATTATTTTATGATTTCCTCATCTCATTTTTCCAGATTTGGCTCTGAGCTCGTCGGCTTGAGCCACGTTTGGCCGACGTTCCTCTGGTGTTCTGAGCCGGACTAAATCAGATTGTATCGTGAACACAACACCAGTTTATTTCTTCCTCTTGTGCGAAAACAAAATGGATCTAACTTTTTGTCAGTGGAATTGTACTTAAATGATCAAACAGGAAGTAAAGCATTACCTCCACATGCTCAAATAATTTATCAATCTGATTTTTCTCTTTTACTGCATCTCTAATCTTGCGCCAGTAAAAAATAAAAAAAATGTAATTTAGGCTTTATAGATGAAACAGGAGTGGAGTAAATTAAAAATAAACTAAACAAACTGAGAGACTCTGTATTTAAAATGGAAGTGTTATTGTCTAATGGAGCGGTTCTCAGCTGAGTGTGAGGATGAGAATCAGCTCCTCTAAGTCTGAGACCATGCTCTTGAATCGGAAAAGGGCAGAATGCCTTCTCCGGGTCAGAGATGAGGTCCTGCCCCATGTGGAGAAGTTCAAGTATCTCTGGGTCTTGTTTATTAGTGAGGGAAAGATGGAGCACAAGATTGACAGCCGGACTGGTGCTGCCTCTGCAGTGATGCGGGCGTTGTACCGGTCTGTCGTGGTGAAGAGAGCTGAGCCAGAAGGCAAAGCTCCCAATTTACCGGTACATCTACGTTCCTACCCTCACCTATGGCCATCAGCTTTGGGTAGTGACTGAAAGCATGAGATCGCAAATACAAGCGGCCCAAAATGAGTTTTCTCCACAGGGTTTCTGTGCTCTCCCTTAGAGATAGGGTGAAAAGCTCAGTCATCCGGGAGGGGCTCTGAGTAGACCTGCTGTTCCTCCACCCTGCCCTCAGGTCTTATAAAATAGATAGATAAATAAATAAATACTGATAAAAAGCGCTTTTCCTCTGAAAACTAAATCAGATGAGACAGCAAAACCATTGTTACTGTCTCTAAACATGAATAAAACTCACCTTCTAGCTCTTCTTCCTCATAATGAATATTCATCACAGAGCTGGTTCCTCCCTGGTCCACCACCACCTCCTCATCTGGCCTCTGGCGCACACACACACACACACACACACACACACACACACACACACACACACACACACACACACACACACACACACACACACACACACACACAGCAGAACAACCTCCTGTCAAAAACACTTATTGTTCTTCTGAAAGCATTCATCACCTCCATGCTCGTCTCACTCCTCTACCAAACCTGAGGGGTCGGCGTGTCCTGAGGTCGTTTGAGGAGACAACTTGACACGCGGTTTTCAGTAAAGAGCATCACATTCCAGACTTTCTATTTTCAGAAAACACTTAGAACATGTGCTCAGCTCCATCAGAGAGGCTGCCGTTGGCACGGCGTTGCTGCAGATGACTTTCCTGTCCCAGAGACGAGGGTTTCTTAGAGATGGAGATGTTTGCTCTTGTGCATCAGTGGTCATGGAGCTGTCCCATGATAATGAGAACATAGTGTTACAGGAGTGTCTGTGCTGCTTTATAAACCATGATCCCTCGTTTCTCTGCACCGGTGCAGGTTTCTTCTCTAGCCTCAGCGAACCTCACACCAAGCGAATACATGAACCCCCACGTAAAACCAGAACCTCAAATCCAGCTCCCCAAAAAAAGTTTTATGAGCGTGTTTATGTGTCAATAAAGTTTTACGCAATTTGAAAGCACAGCTTTGAGATCATAAGACATCCATTTCATTCATGTGTGGAGCTGCCATGGGATTTCACTTTCCTTCCATGACTCAGCACTTTATTGTCCCAAGACATAAAACTTAATTAGACAGACTCAGTGTGATCTGTGGTTTTATTTCTGCAGGGCAGATGCTTTTATAGCTTTGAGCAATGTGGCAAATTTATTGAACCATAATTCCACGGTTATTTCCCGCTGCAGTCAAACAGCAGAGAGCTGAATCTTGGCTAGTTTCCCTCTAGTCTGGACAATGTTTAGTCATACACAGTTAGCGTATTAAATCTGCATTTAGATGCATTTCTTTGGTTAAACTGCAAGGATCATATGATATTGTGTTTTTTTACTTAATTAAACCTCATTAATTAATAGAGAGACATTTCTGTTTACATAACTCTGTTGACTCTGTCACGCCAAGACTGTGGGAGCTGTGAGACAGAACCGTGTTGAGCCACACGTGTGAAGGCGACGTTATTTTTAGCTGGTTTAAAGCACGAAGAAGAAGAAAGAAGAGATCATCATAACACCTTCTAGATCAGTTTGTCTGAGGACGCCTCAATCAGACAGGCAGAGTGACCTCAGGCCTGCAGAGGGTTCCCCCAAAATCACAGAATACCCCCATGAGACACATGGTATCATCTATACTAGTTAGGATTTTGCTAACCTTACCCAGTTAGTAACCAGCACTAACTACTAAAGCATTCATGGTTTACCTCTAGAAAGTTTATTTCATGGCTTCACTAAACGAGCATCTGTGAGTCACCTATACACATGGCCGGATTATAATATGGGCAAACTGGGCACAAGCCCAGGGGCCCACAGCCACAAGGGGGCCCATGCAAGCAACAGTCTTTTTTTTTGTGTGCAGCGGTCAACGTTGGAGAAAAAGTTGACAAGTAAAGTTAAAATTGCGCCCACATTTTCTAAGTTAACACACATTTCTTTTAACAACGGTAGTTTTTGCATCTTTACTGCCTGCTTCAGCCCTCTCCCCCCTCCCCCTGCGCAGCGGCCACAAACTCACTGATGCGCCTGCAGCCTCTCAGAGTCCCTGCTGCTCTAAACATTAAAATAATTATTTCATTTTGTGTTCCTCACTTCTGATTACCTTCAGTGGTGTCTGTTTGTTGCTACCAGGTACAAAAACGAACTTGTTTTCTATTTGACTATTTTTCTGTCCTGTATCTGTTTATTATCTTCTTGCATCTCCTCTCAATCCTGAAGAAAAACTGCTACCTGGGTTCATATGTATTCACCTCATGAGTTACCTTTGAACTGCAGTTCTAAAAGATATACCGACCGCAAATAAAGCGGAGTGCGCGCCTCGTGCCGGCAGCACCGGTGCGGAGAAGTCTCCGGAGGACGAAACAGGTGATGAGCGCTCGCTCGCTCCGCAGCAGCAGCGAAACGCATCAGACACAAATAAAAGACAGAAAGCATGAAAGGATATGAGCCGACATGAACGATCGCATGTTAAATTTGTTTTTGAGGTGGCGACGCTTTGATAATGTTACTGCGGCCGTGCTCAGGACGCATCTGTCTGGAGCGCGCCAACGATCAGAGCTCTGCGCCTCACAGCTCAAAATAATCCCCAGAAAGTCCACATGGATAATTTAATATAAGCAGTACCAGGATCGTTTTCAGGCTAAAAATCAGTCTACAGTCATCTTCCCTAATGTGTTTGTGGCCCTGCCGATTTTTCGAACTCTACCAGTTACAAATTGTGAAGGGGAACGATCATTTTCACAAATGGTAAGAATAAAAAATTAACTGAGAACAACACAAACTCAACAGCGCCTCAGTGCACTGTCACTGATGTCTCAGCTTGTCAGGAATCTGGACTTTGACAATATTGTAAATTAATTTACTAATGCACTAAGCACATTGTGCCCAGGGGCCCCTGCAATTATAATCCGGCCCTGCCTATACATACGTCTTTTAGACTGTGAGAGGAAAGATTGCTCAGGGAGAACATGTAGAGTCCACATGGAAAGGTCACAGCTGGGAGTCAAACCGACAACCTTGTGGATGTGATGCAACAGAGTAACCACACAGCTTCAGAGTTGTTTTGTAGACCATGTTTTTAGGCATTGTCTGACAGCCACAATGCTGCTCTCATCATATACACACACACTGCTGTGATGGTTCTGTTTGAGCTGACACACACACACACACACACACACACACACACACACACAGACACACACAGACATGCATAAGCATACACACACACACACACACACACACACACACACAGACATGCACAAGCATACACACACACACGTGCACACACACACATGCACACACACACACACACAGACATGCACAAGCATACACACACACACACAGCGACATGCACAAGCATACACACACACACACACGTGCACACACACACACACACGCACACACACACACACACACACACACACACACATGCACACACACACACACACACGCACATGCACACACACACACACGCACATGCACACACACACACACACGCACGCACACACACACACACGCACGCACACACACACACACACACACACACACACACACACACACACACACACACACACACACACAGAGCTTTTTAAAACTTCATCATAAATAAAAAGCGTCCTTTTTAAGCCTCTTCCCTCGGAATCAGCTACTTCATCTACATATTATATTCATGCGTCTTTTCCAGATCCACGCGCTACTGCCCCATAGCCTGGCCAGCCAGACTCTCTCTGTTTAATTCTGCGCTGTGCAGAATTAAACAGAGAGAGTCTGGCTGGCCAGGTTACCTGCCCCATCCTGGTCATCTGGTCACAATTCAGTGACAGCGCCTCCTTCAGGGTAAATTCAGGCATGTGTGTCTTTTTTCACAGGCTAATGGTTCCTTCTCATTCACAGCTCACCTCCCTCGTGTCACATTAAATCCTCACACTAATTAAAAGCTCACACGAAGTTTTGCCTGCTGTCGGAGACTGAGCACATCTGTAGCAATCAAAGTGATTTTCCACAGATAAGTAATCTGCCTGTCATGGCCAGGTCTTATCACCTGGCAACCGTCCTCTTTGAGTTCATCCTCGTTCTCCAGCCTGGTATCGGTGGCAGCCTTCGGTGGTGTATGACTCAACCATTTTCCACTCAGATGATCACTTTGTCTGTGTTTGGATCACTGTTGGACCCAAAATGGCTGCTTGTCGTTGGGGTGCTGTCCTTCATTTGCATTTCAGAAGGTGGCAAACCCACCCAGGGGCTGCCTTGTTACTGGAGGAAAACACATGATAAACCAAATTATTTTCATAAGCTGTGATGTGAATTAGAGAGGACAGAGCTCATGAGCTTTGTTTCCCCCACTAAGCTTTCATCACAAGGATTTGCAGCTGAGAATCAGCATTGCCCTTCAGGCCGCTCCAAAAACAGCATCTTCTCAACCTGGTCTCAACTTTAAATAAAGCTTGTGTGAGTTCTATTATTCGAGATCCAGCCTATTAATCGGGTTATTTAGCACAGATGTGGTTAAGAGTTTTGTACAAGAATGCACTGGGAGAATGTTGCTGTTTGAAAAACTTAAACAGAAAAAGCCTCCAGAGAATAAAACAAACTCTGATCCACGAGACAACTTTAGACGAGCTGACCTGAAGTCTCGGCATGAAAAAGCCCAAAATAGAGGAATGCTGTTGCTCTGTTTGGTGGCTAAAAAGAGATATGAGACCAACTTTCCACCAAAGCAAATCACACTAAAAATATTCTGGATTCCCAAAATGGTAATAGAAAGTACACAAGGTCCTTCTTAGGAGGTGGATGAACTGCTCTTTTATGGAGATATTGAGATTTTGGTACTATTAGACCTGTACTGTTGTTACATTTTTGAGATTTAAATTTGTATTTTGGATGAAGGAAGCTGAGAAACAACATTCTTATTTTCATGACATTATCCTGATTTAACTAAATAAGTAAACCAGGGGTTTAACTGGGACATAAAACTCATACTGGAACGAGCCACTAGGGCAGGTTTCTTCATTCATTTGGCTTTAAAGACATACTAGGCAACCTTTTCATATTTTTAAATATTTTCTTTGGCCTTTATGTGCTAAAACGACCCTTAATGAAATGTCAATCAGACTCTGTAGCCAGAATATTGCACTTGCAACTTCAGAGTGGGCGGGCCGCCCAGAGTGGGCTGACATGCCTGGCGTTTCCTGCATGTTTTAGATCATAAACACAGCTGATTTGTTTAATTTAGGGATGAATCACTCCTGTAGACACTAATGAAGGCTGAGAAGACATTTCAGCTGTTAGATTAAGGTGTTGAAAAGATGAAAGCACAGTGAGGAGATAAGTTTCAC